GGGTCTAGGGGTTTAGGGGTTAGGGTGAGACCCCTTAGTGTAGGAAACTGATTAAGAATCCTTGGGTCTTATAGTCCCGAAATATTAGGATCCAAAGGGGTAGATCTCTAAAGTAGGGTCCCCTTTAGGGNNAAGGGGACCCTGATTTAGAGAACTATCCTGCTAGCAACGGAGGCCTACAACCCAAACCCCGAAAGCCTACAGTTCAAAAGCTGAAAGCTCACACCGAAGCCTACCCGCCCGTACCCCCTCAAAACCGTCTGCCCTAAAACCGTAACCCCTAAACTCAAGGGCCCTTGACTCCCCGTAAACCCTAAACCCTTACTGTAACCCCCCCAAAAAACCCTGGAACCCAAAAATCCTAAGCCTCTACAAACCCCGAAAGCCTAAGACCCGAAAGCCTAAAGGCGTAAACTCGAACCCCCCAACCCTAATAGCACCTAAACCTTAAAACCCCTTTACCCGAAAGCCTAAACAAAGCCCCTACAAAAAAGGTTCTCGAAACCTCATAAACACCTCTAAACCCGAAAATTAACCATAAACTCGATTTAAGCACCCCCTAAACCCAAAACCCTAAACCCTACCCGCTAAGAACCTCAAGCTTCACTGACGAAGCGACATCCCCCGGCCTCGGCCATTCTGGAAGCAGCGGTGTCCTCATGCAGCTCCCCAGACCACCGGAAGGATCTAAAAAGTAGATCCCCTTATTTTAGAGGTTTAGGGTTTAGGGTTCAGGGTTCCGGGGTCTCGGATGCTTTGTTTTCAGGGTCATGCGGACCCTGGGAGCGTTCATAGACGGTTTAGGCTTTAGGTTTTAGGTTTGAGGGGTTTGGAGTTTAGGGTTTATACTTACTTCCCCAATAAGCCAGGGGAACAAAAGTGTTTAAACTGTCAGATTACTACTAAACTATAAGAACCCGACAAGTCTGAAGGTTGGGTATTGGGGAACGAAGTGCAATATGGGGGGGGGCCTTAAGAATTAGCATAAACTTTTGGGGTATATCAAATTATACTTGTAATAAGGAACCCCCAAAAACCCTATTCCAAGTATTAAGACCCCTACATTGAGGTGTTAGAGGTTTAGGGTAAGGCCTAGGGCCCCCTAAACCCTAAACCCTAAACCCTAAACCCTAAACCCTAGGGTTCAAGATTTCTCAGACTGGAGGCCTGTCGGGCTCTAGTCTTTGTGCGAACGTAACTTTGGGGTTCAGAAGTTCGGGTTTAGGGTTTAGGGTTTAGGGTTTAGGGTTTAGGGTTTAGGGTTTAGGGTTTCATATATAGGGGCCTCAACAATTAGAATCGACTTTTGGGGTGTAGTATACTA